CATCATCTACTGTGAGATCATTATTGATCGACAGATCCCACGTGATATTTGGAGTTGCAATTTCTTCCGCTGACAATACTTAGCTTTTTTAAATTTTTAAATAAATTATTCTGAAATAATTATAATAAAATAAACTTTATTTTTTATATTCTTAGATTATGAATTATAATTCATAAAATTAATATAATTAGATTAAAAAATAAATATCATTTTAAATAATCTAAATAATTTATTATTAGAATTATTAATAGATAATTTTCAAATAACTACTTTTAATATATATTTATATACTTTTCTAATCTTATTGAAGACTTTTATAAAATTATAAAAATTATATAACAAATTGTAAAACAATATTTTAATTAATATTTTTATATCTAAAATTATATTTTTTTAATTTAATTTTAATTTATAATTTATATATATATAATAGTATTAAAAATTCTAATTTTTGCAAAAAAATAATATATTTAAATATTATTTTAACATTTTAAGCTTAGAGAAATTTTTTAAAATGATATAAATATATCTAATTATTAATTATATTTGAAAAAATATAAGTACAATTTCTAAAGAGAATTTTTTAAAAAAGATAAAATCTATAAATGATAAGTTATTAAGAAATTATATAAAAAATTATTTTAATTTAGTATTTATTAAAATGTATAATTTAATTCTATTTATTTTATAATAAATTTTTTAAAATTTAAAATTATTATTATAAAATATAAACTTAATTTGCTATTTTATAATATAACTTTAAGCATAATTATAAATAACTAAATTTACATTTATAATATACTTTTAATATTTATTACATAAATTACTTTATATATAAATTTTAATTCTTAAAAAGAAAGAGATTTATATATGTAACAGTTATTATAATTAAATTTATTTAAATTAAAAAAATTTATATTTTACTATTTTATATTTATATTTTAAAATTAATAAAAATTAATAATTAAAAAATTAAAAACTTTAAAGGTTATATAAATAAAAAATAAATATTAGTAAAGATTAAGGTGAGAAATTAAAAATTTTATTAAAGAAAATTTTTAGTATTTATCTTATTTGATAAATTTAAGTTAAATTCTTTGTTATTAACTAAATTCTAAGTTATTTTATTTATATAAAATTCATTAATATTAATAATTAAAATAATAATAATAATTGATTAATAATATAAAAGGAAGTTCTAGCATCTTCTAAACCTTTTATATAATTTTTAAATTTGTTTTCTTTATCTTTGCTATTTTTATTCTCTAATGTAATATAGTAATGTAACTTTTAATTATATAAATTTTATCTAATCAGCTAATCTTTAATTAATTATTTTTCTATTGTAATATAGTATATTTTGTAAAGTATTTCTGCTTAAAATTGAGTTAAAATGTAATTAATCTCTTTTTTTTAAATTATACTAATAATATAATAATATAATTTAATATAATTATAATTGAAATAATTATTTTTAGCTATTACATAATATTTTATTAGCTTTTTAAATTTTATGAAAAAGTATAATTTAGATTTAATAATAAATTTTCTTTTATAAATAGATAACTTATAAATGTTAATTCTTTACTTTTTATAAATTTATATCATAAATTTTTTTAAGTTTAAATAATTTACATAATTTCAATAAAAAATTTTATTTCTATAAAAAATAAAAAAATAAAGTATAATAAATAGATTAATATTTCAAAAAATATAAAAATATAATTTTTCATCTATATGATTTATTAAATTTGTTTTTCATTTATCAAAAAATATTACAAAATTAGCAAAAATTAATTATGACATATATGTGACATATACTTGTGACAACTAGATTCTTAATTACTAAAAAATTTCAAGTCTTCATAATATTTAGTAAAAATGAAATATGAAGAAAAGTGATACCGGTAACAAAATATATCATGTAAAAATTTGATAATTGCCTATTTTTGGAAAGCTATATAATATCTAACACAGTTTCTTAGATATAAATGCGTCAATTTTATATGAATTTTATATGGTCAAATTAGGAGCATTAATTTTATATAAATTTCATATAGTCAAATTAGGTGCGTCGATTTTATATAAATTTTATGTGGTCAAATTAGGTGCGTCGATTTTATATAAATTTCATATGGTCAAGTTTGGTGCGTCAATTTCATATAAATTGCATATGGTCAAATTATGTGCGTCAACTTCATATAAATTTTATATGGTCAAATTATGTGCGTCAATTCATATAAATTTTATATGGTCAAATTATGTGCGTCAATCTTATATAAATTTCATATGATCAAATTAGGTGCGTCAATTAACTCATTCCAAAATTGCGCGGGAAGTCGTCGTACAACGCCTGCGCCGATTCACGTGATAATTGCTAAGGTTTTAAAAAAATAGTAAATGTTTCATCTGGAGCTTAGACGGATATAATATTTATAGTAAATCTTGATAAATTTTGATTCGTCATTGTATTTTGACAGCATCACTAATCTATTTATTATTCTGATAAAAATGATAAAATTGGCTGATCTTCCAAAGACTTTTTTGCATCAGACTCAAATTGAAATGTTCCTCTTTCTGCCACTTGTAAATCTTAGAGAGTACCCGCAATATATATATTTTTTTATTATCGTCGTAATGTAAACTTTTTTGATGGTAAATGTATCATAAAGACAGGTATAATTAAATCATGGTGATAATAAAAGTTATATATTTATTAATGATAAAAAAAAATTCATATAAATATAAAGAGTATGATTACTAAACTAAATAAACTAATATATAAAATATAGTATAGATAAAGAAGTTAAAGTTTCTTAATATTCCGTGTCTTATTATTCGTGTCTTATAAAATTCTTATTAAGAATAATAAAACAAACCCAGTGCAAACGTTATTAAGGGAATTAAAAACATTTCGAGTATAAAAAAAAAAAGATCCCTTCGAACGATAAAATTCCCGACGGGTTTAAAACAAAGGCATCATTTTCGGAATATACATTTCTGGTTGAAAATCAGGAATTAGAGTAGGTAAATGAGGAGGGCGTAGTCGGAGAGTAGGGGCTTTTGAGATGACAATGGTGGGGTTGACATGAGAAACCTTAGGTAAGATAAAAGGTGGTTTAAAATTTTTGACATTTTGACGATTAATACGTTCTAGGTGTTTTAAATGTGTGATCCAAATTCCTTGGATCCTATTGGCAGAACGGAATTTATTGAATTTCATTTCCATTGCCGTTTGGCAATTTGCCCAACTGATGTTGTCGGATGCTTTGGTATTTTTGCTCACCCAATTATAGATGAACTCTTTTTCTTCCTGCGTGAAAGGACCATTCGTAACTGATAAAGAAGGAAACATAATATTTTGTTTTAGTTTTTTTTTAAAAATAAAAAAAAAAAATAGAGCAATCCAAAATATAAATTTAACGTACCGCGAGGGTTAATTTTATAATTCCATCTAAAATTTATGATTAAAAAAAATTCAGAACGTCGTGAATAAAATGTCTTGAAAAAAAATTCTAACTATGAATTGTTGATAACTTACCTATGGCTTATTTGTTTTGATGAGAATTTAGGAATTCGGCGACTCAATTCCGCGTACGGTTTTCTACTATTTTTACCTTCCCCTTGCATAAATTCCTTAATTAGCAAATCAGTCTGTATAAATGAGATAAATAAGTGTTAAATATATCTAATTTTTTTTTTTTTTTTTATATAAAATAAAATAAAAATTAAACATACTTTTAAATCAAATGCAGGCATGCTTGCGATATATTCGATATATTGAGATGTACGTATATTAGTGTTCCTTTTAATGGGGGGTTTTTTTTATTTTGTTTTATTTTTTATTTTTTATTTTTTTTTTTGAAAAGAAGTCGTAAAATCGTTGTTCTTTTATATCAAAAAATTACATCAAAAAAGTAAATTCGTCAAAACTGAATTAATTTAATATTTTTTTTATTCAATTAATTTAAATTTTCTTTTTTATCAAAATTGTTTCTTATTTTTTTCCATCCCCTTATTTTAAGAATTAAAATCTTTTTGTAGATTGGTCCGTTTCTTCATTAGAATGCGAAATTTGTGTCATCTTACAAGAAAATATTTTTATTTTTATTACTTGCATTAGTGCCTTTGTCTAATAAACCTGTTTTCTGCTGGTTAAAATCGTAAAGTTATGGAATTTTTTAATTAATTTTTTTTATTTTGATTTTGAATTTTATGCCGATCATACCTAATAATCGAAAAAACTTTTTGAAAATATCGCAATAAACTGGGGGGCAACGCGTTCAATTCGATTATTGTCGATAAATCATTTATTTTAGATTTTCTGAGATTATTTAAGAAGTCTCTCATCATGTATGGACAAGGCTTTTTTGTTTATACAAACTGAGTAACAATTATTCACCAATTGGAAAATTTAGCTTTTATGAAGTTCGCCACTTTACCTTTTTTTTTTTTTATTATGTTGCTTTTTAATCTAAATGTCTTTTTTTGAATTCCTTTTTACTTTTTAGGGTTAAATTATTTTAAGGTTCATTGGGCTTTTCTGTTTCATGTTTTATGATATCGATTGGAATATAATAGATATCAAATCGAGTTCCCCTTTGTAGAACGTAAATAAACAAGGTCCTACATCTTATGAAACAACCGTTTCATATTTTTGCCATTATTGGTCGAGAGCTTTTTAAAGAATTTCCTCAAAAGAATTCAATGAAAGGAAATGTAAGAATTCCAATGATAAAAACACAAAACATGAAACAAAATAACAAAAAAACAGGTTATTAAAGAATCTATACCTCTTTAGGTTGATATTTCTACGGAAATTGAAATGAAATTCTTTTTTTTTTTTTGGTCTTGCCGTTCCATGCTGTGTCATATTAAAAACACCCCTTCGTAAATAAATGATTCATCTTCAATCATTTTCCATCATTTTACAATGAAAAACGCTCGCTTTTATAATCAAATATTATTATTATTATTATTATTATTATTATTATTATTTTCTACTCCGTTTAATAAAAAGTTGGGGGTCCGCAAATTAAATGATCGACAGTTACTGTATCGGAAAAAATTAAGGTGTTTACAAATTGGAAATAATCATAGAACGATAACAATTTATTCCGAGCCATGAATCTAGTCACTTACTTGAATACTTTTTTAAGTCTTACAAAAAAAATATATATATAATTTATTTATAATAGGCTTAATAACACTTAATTAACAAGTGTATTAATGAATGGGAAATAAAAAAGATTTTACATCAAAAAATATTTAACAAAATAAATTTAAACCTTATCGTAACGAAAGGTAGCATCCTTCAAGCCACCACATATAAATTTTTTAACCACTCCTTCACCTAAGTACTTGTTTATAATTTCTTTATAATCAGCACTGTTATAAACGGGATCACATGTAAACATTGACAAAGCTTTTCGACCTCTCCAATTATCGAAAAAAGCATCTAAAGCTTCCAATGAAAATTTAAACCCAAAATATGGAAAACTTTCCCCAATTCTAATTTCTGTTAAATTAACTGGTGCCGACTTTATTAACACTCTTGCTAATCTTTCTCCAGATTCAAAATTTTCCTCCTCAACCGATTTGAGTTCATCTCTCATAACTTCATTAATCACTATTAATAACCCCTTCAACTTTTGACATGCTTTTAATAAATTTTCAAATTCGGCGAAATGAACCGTTGTTTTTGAAAATGAGATTGACAAATATTCGATCAAAGGACAAGTTTCATAAATCGTACAGATAAGGTTAAGAGAATCTTTAAAGTAGGTGTCACAAAGGACGTCATATTCATTGACTAAAATTTTCCTGAGGTGCCCTCCGTTGGTTTGAATCACGCGAGTCATTGTGCTGCTTTGAATACAATCTACATGAATGGTTTCAAGATTTTGATAACTTGAACTTTTCAGTTGATTTTCAAATTCGTCGTAAGGAAATTTAATCATTAACGTTTTTAAGTTATGAAATCTTGAAAAGTTTATCGGAATGATCGTTCCATAATCATCATAATCCTGAAAGCTCGTCACCAAAGAATTTAGGGTATCTGCCTTTTTCTCTAATGTTAAAAAAATATCTTGATATACTTCCTTCTTGAATAAAATTTTTTCAAGATTAAAATAATCATTCCATTCGAAATGCTTTAAATTCTTCTGTATCTCTATCAACTTGACAATTCCATCATTGGTTTTTTGATCTTTATTGAAAATGATGAGCCTTTGTATCGATTGACAGATTCTTGCTAATCCATAAAAGTACGATGGATTAATGGACATATCACATGTGATTTCACAAAGTGAGCCAAGACATGTCGTAGATTCTGTAAAATAAAATATTTGGTGTCTAAGTGTTCTCATATCCAAATACTTTACTTCTGGACATTTTCTCATAAGCATGCTGTAAATTTCTTGTTGTACATGAAATCGTTTAGAAGTTAAGGAAGAACAAATAGAAATGATTCTGTTTATGACCTTTACGTTGATACTCTTACAAAAGCATAGATAATCAAACAAAAGTGGTTTGCGTGAAATTGGTAAAAAGATTCCCACCCTCTGTAAAAATAACTTGATATCATTGGATAAATAGAAGGTAATAACGTAATATAAAGAATTGTTGATTTTATCATTTATTTTATTTTTTAAACGCCAGGGATTCTTCCATAACATTGGGACTGCGGTTTCACACCAAAGTCGACAAACTAATAGACATGAAAAGAGGGACTTTGGGTCATCTTGTAATTCCTCAAATAACAAGAAAAGTACGTCCTTATTAAGATTGGACATGTTTAAAAAAAAGGGTTCACCGCAGCAATTTTTAAAAAAAGGAAAAACATGCCGTTATATATTTTAAAAATCATTTTTGTGTGACTACTTTTTTATTTTTGTGTTAAAATAAAAATTTTTTTTTAGGTTTGCAAATGGTGCCTTTTTTGTAAATTCTCCTTGTTAAGATAAGAGGAATTGCTAAAGAATAAATCTCATTTAACATAGAAATGATCCACCTCAGAAAATTAATGCCGATCTTTAATTAATTTCACCCGATCTACTCCGATTTTTTCAGTAATTATTGAGTATTTTTCTTTAAATAGATTAATTCATAAACTACTAATATTATGGATTATTTTTTTTAATATTAACTAATAATTTAAAATATTTCACTTAATTTATTTAAAAATTTTATAATGCTCAATCGATTTTACTGAAATTTATATGTTTAATAGATTACTATTTATATATTAAATTTTTACTTTTATTAGATATCAATATATAAAATTGATATAATGCAAATCTTTTAGCTATCATTGTAGTATAGTAATAACAAATAACTGATCATTTTTGATCATTTGGATCATCAAAAATATTAAAATTATACTAAAATCATTTATAATTTACATATTATTATCAAATTTATTTATTTTTTTTAAATATCTAATTTTTTTTTATTTTAAATCAAATTACATTTGATTAATTAATTTATTTTAAATTATAATAGAAAAAAAATAAAATTTATGAATACAAAAGCTATTTGTTAATTTTAATTTATAAAATATACCTTATCTATTTTACAAATAAAATTTGATTGTAAGACATTTAAAATAAATACTTAAATTTAAATAGAAATAAGATAATGATAAAAAAAAAATTCTTTATATTATATATTAAAAGATAAAAAAATTCTTTCAATAATATTTGAATCTAAAAGTAATGATACTCCTTAATTTTTATTATCTAGAAAAATTTATAGAAAAATCAGATTTTAAGAAATTTTAATTAAAATTAATTGTTTAATGCATTTTAATCTAATAATATCAAAGCTAAAATGCAATAAAAATCTCAATTATGTTAAAATTTTCTAGAACCTGATTTTTCTAATAATTACTTATCTAATTCTTTTATAATTACAATTAAACAAACATCTTTTGCCATTATATTTTATGTTTATTATTAATAAAAAATACTAATATTTTAAAATTTTAGTACTATTTATAATGATTTTAAATGATTTTTCTTTACATTTATAACTAAATATCTAATTATTAAATAATTTTTAATATAAAATAAATAAAAAGTCAAGTTTTTTTATATTATTTTTTTTTGATTTATTAATAATTATTATAAAATATATTAATAATATAGATCATTTAATTAATCTAATAAATAATAATAAATTATCAAAATTATTTAAATTATTAAAAATTATTTTATTAATACTAATATAATATAAATATATAATATTATAAACAAATTTGATAATAAAATTTAACAAAATTTTATAAATTTTTAATATCTAAATTAATCAAAGTTTTTTTATTTTATTTTAAAATATTATGAATTTTTTTAAAAAATAATATTTTTTAATAAAAGTTTATTTGTATTCTTAAAATATATAAAATTTGAAAATTAAATTATTTAAAATTAATTTATTAATTATTCTATTAATATTAATTTAATATTAATAAACTTTAAATCTATATAGTAAAAAATTTTTATAAATAATTTTATTTAAAATATTAAAAGTAATTTACTTTAATTAATATAATTAAATTACATATTAAATTATAATATAATATTAAAAGAATGTTAATTACTAATTTTTTTCTAATAAAAATTTAAAGTTAATAATTTTAAACCTGTTAAATAACTTTACTTAAATCATTAAAAATAATTAAAATTTTTAAGTTATACTTTAAATTTATTAAACAAAAAAAATTAATTCATAAATTAATATAATTATTATATAAAATATTATTTAATTTATTAAAGTAAATAAACTAAATCTAAAGTTTTACAAGTCATCTAAATAATAAAAGGTAAAATTTATCAAAGTTATATTAAAATCTTATTAAAAAAATTTGTAAGATTCTAGAAAAGATATATATCAAAGCTTATAAAATGTGAAATTATATTAAAATCTTAATAAAAATTAGTAAAACTAAAGTTTAAACATTCTATTAAATTTAAAATGAATTTAGATAAGCAACTTTAATTATATATTTTATTTAGATTATTAAAAATGATTTATTTTAACTAAAATTTTTAAATTATACTTAAATTCATTAAATAAAAAAATTTCAAAAGTTAAATATTAATAAATTTTAGATTTAAATAATTATTCTTTAAATAAATAAAATTTTTTTTTTATAAAAAATAAAAAATTAGTTAAAATATAAGTAAATATATTATATAAAGTTATTATTATATATTTTTAATTTTGTAAAAAATTAAATTTAGTATAAAATAAAATAATTCTTTTAATTTTAAAAAATAATCTTTTAAAAATCAATAAATAATACTATTAAATTTTAGAAATAATTTTTAAAAAATATTAAAATTATTATTATTATTATTAATTTTTTTTTTATAAATTAATAAAACTTGATCTTAGTAATAAACTTATAATAACAAATAACTATTTCAATTACTAATCAATTCTTATTTTATTTTATAATAAACAATTTATTTTGCAAAATATCTCTTAAACTGTAAAGCAGATAAATTTGCCTATAAATATAAAAAAAATATTAATTTTTTAATAAAATATAAATATTAATATTAATAATATAATTATTATATAAAAATATAATTTAATATATATTTTATTAATTTAATTAGAAGAAATTTTAAGTTAATTAAGAAATTTTATAAATGATTAAATTTTTAAAATTAAAGTTTTGAAAAATGTATTATAATAATTTTTTAAAATTTTTCTTAAAATTTATATGTTTACAAACTAATTGAATTACTTTACTATTAATAAAAGTAATAAAATTTCTTAATAAATTATAAAAATTATAATAATTAAAGTTATTCCTCATGATAAATTTTATAATATTCTATTATAATTAATATTACTAAAAGTAAATGTTAATAAGATAATCAAAGGTCAATGATAAAATTTTTAATTTATAATTTTTTTAAAAATTATAATTTTTAGCTTAAAAGTAACTTTAAATTATTTATTATTTAGTTAAAAAAATAAAATTTACTATAATATTATATATATTTATAAAATTAATTTTAAAAAAAAAAATTTTTTAAAAATTTTAATTTTTCATAAAAGTAAATTAGAAAGAATTTATAATAAATAAATAGGCAAATTTACCTGTAAATTTCTACAATTTAAGGAATAATATTTATTTAATTAAAAATAAATTTTATAATATAAATTTAATAATATAAACTATAATTAATTAATTTAATTTAAAATAAATAATCAATTCTAAAACTTTAGATATAATATTTAAAGATTTTAAAACTTATAATTGATAATTTAATAAAATTAATAAATATAATTATAAGCATAAAATAAATTTAAAAGAATAATTAAAAGTTATTATACTTTAGAAATAATAAATTAGAAGTAAAAAAATTTTTAAAATCTGATTTTTTGTTAAATTGTTCTATATAAGTTTATCATATGATTATACTAATATTATAAATTTTTTTCATATTTTTAAATATTCTTTTTTCTTTTAAATTTTTCAATTACAATTCTTTTTCAATTTTATATAAAGTACTATTTTTAAGTAAAATAAATATATATCATAACTATATTAATAAAGAGAATATTTATAAAAAGAATCTGCTATTAATAAAGTTTATATTACAACTAGTTGCAACTATATGATACTTATTTATCATCAGTTGCAATTAATTGTAACTTAATTTTTATTAATATTATAACTAGTTATAACTCTATAATATTTATTTATTACTAATTATAACTAGTTATAACATTATTTTTATCTATTAAGTAAGTTTTCATTTAATTTTATGCTAAATATTGTAATATCAAATAATATTTTATAAGTCTAGAAAAATACTTATTTCCTGATAAAATTATCATTTTAATTTACTTGTATATTCTTTATATCTATTATTTAATTTTGAAGTAAAATACTACTATTTTAGTAATAATTAAAAAAACTTTTCATTTACTTATAGAAAATATTTAGTATTTTTATATCTAATTAAATTTATTATTATTATTTTATTTTTTCAAAAAATTACAAGTTTATATTATAAGAATATCAAGAATATGTTTGCAGTAAATTGTAACCTATTAAAACCTGTTTAATATTTAAGGTTAATATTTTGCTAAGCAAATACATTTAAGTGATAAAGTCTTAAAATACAAATTAATATTAGATCAGTGTTAAAATATATTTTGTATATATAATAAATAAGGTAATTCAATAATTAATTATAGTATTTATCAAATTTTTATAAATTGACTTATTTTTATTTTATTTTATAAAATACAATAGTTTTACATTATTTTTATTAATAATTAATTAAAAAATTTTTTTTATAAAGATTAAAAAAAATATTAATGAAATAAAAGTTTAAATATTATAAAGAATAAAGAAAATTTTTTTATTAAATATTATGATAATAGAATTTATGATAATAAAGAATCTTTAATTTTATATAATTTAAAATTAGCAATTTAATTTTTAATTTTAATTGATTATTCTAAAAAAAGTTAATAGAATATTATAATAAATAATATAAAAATATATATAAGTAATAATTAAAAATAGTAAGTAAGTTTTTATTTTAAGATTAAAAATAATTTTATTATTTATTTTAGGCTTATTTATTTAATATTTAAATATATTTTAATTAAAAAAATTTATATTTAAAAAGTTTTTGTTTATTTTGCTTAATATAGTTAAATAATATATATACATTTTTATTAATATTATTTATTTTTTAATATTTAATTTAAAAATAATTTAATATATTTTTCATATTAATTTTAAAATAATTAATATCAAAATTAGTAAATGAACCTTTATATTTTTTTTTTATAATTATTTACAATAAATCTAATAAGATTAAAATATCATAATATTATTAGAATTAATTAATAATATCTAATCTTATAAATTTCTTTTTAATTAGATTCAAAAAATTAAAAATATAATAAACTAATTTTACACATTTTTTTTATTAAATTCTTAGAATTTTTTTTTTAATTTTCTAAATAAAAATTTATTAAAATATTAGTTATTTTTAATATTAAAATTCTGAATAACTAAATTATCTAACTAACTTAATCTAAATTTTTTTAGGTTAAGTCAAGTCAGATAATCTATTTTAGATTTTTTTAAGTTTCTTTAAATAATTTAATTTTATTTTAAATAAAGATCAGGTAATCTAATATTTTTTTAAATCAAATTAAGTTTGATAATTCTTTTAATTTAATCTAATATATACTTTAAAAAAATCTAAATTAAGTCAATAAAATTATTTAAATTAAATGATAATAAATTATTTAATTAGAATAATAAGATATGTTTAACTTAAAGAATAATAAATCATTCAAATTATAATAAATTATTTAAAATAATTTTATTAATCTGAATTAATTTTTCAGATTAAATAAGTTAAATTAGATCAATTAACAAATTTACTTGATCTAAAATTAACTTAATTTGATCTGAATTTTTATGTTATATTAAAAGTTGATCTGATTTGATTTAGAGTTCTAATTACAATTTATAATTAAATGAATTAAATATTTAATCAATTAAGTTATAACTAAATTTAATTTAATATCTTTATTAATTTAAAAAAATCATTACTTTATTTATATCTTTATTTTAGTATTTTTTTTTAATATTTATTTATAAATTAAGTTTTAAGTTAAAAAGTATAAAGACTTTTCTAATTGAAATACTTTACAATTTTAAAGATTTCAAAATAAATATTTAAATAAAGAATTAATATATTAAAAATAAAATAATTTAGATATAATGTATTTTTAATAATAAAATATTTTTAAATAAAGATACATATTTAAAAAAAATTGTATATTCAAATAAAATACTTTATATATTTTTTTTATATTCAAAATATATTTAAAAATACAATATATTTAAAACATGAATTTTTATATTTAAATGTATTTAATAAAAAAATTTACAATTTTAATATTATATGAGAATTGATCAATAATAATTTTACATTAGATGATCTTTTAATTATACTAAATAGTGATTAGTAAAAATCCTTCAATAATTAACTAACTTAAAAATGAATATATTAGAACTTGAAAATAAAATAAATATATATGCAAATTTTTTACATATATTATATAAAAAAATTTATTTAGCTTAAAAATAGTTTTACAAAAGTAAAATCATCTTTTCATACTGATTGATAAAATGACTATAAATTGATATACTAGTCAAAAATTCTCAGATCTGATTTTCTTAACAAGCTTTTTCATATAATTTATAGAAAAATAATTAATTATATAGTATGAATAAGAAAATTTTATAATAATTAAATAATGATATTGAAATTGGTTAAAAATATAATTTTGGTATTATAAATACAAAATAAATTTTTTTTTTATAATATTAAATTTAATTTTTATAATTAAAGTACTTAGTTAATGTAAACGTAGTACTAGAAGTAATAAAAATACTTAAATTAATTTTAATTTATAATGAAAATTACTATAATATACTACTTTTTTTACAATTCAAATACTTTAGTCTTCTTTTTGTATATATAAGTATAGGAATTTTCATAATAATTTCAAGATTTTACATGTAACACTGGAAAATGGGAACCAATCATTATACAAGGAATGGATATAAAAGGTCATCATGCATTATTTTCTCAGCCAGCACCAACATAACCTTTTATTTCGAAAGACGAAATTATTTTTGAAAACATGCCAAAAAGAAATTCTAATGATACTTCCTCAAATCCAACAAGAAGGTCAGCTCGTAATAAACGCGTCGAACTCCAAAACGAACTAATTACAGAGGTGGCTATTCAAGAAGCTTTTTCTGAAAAAGAAGTAACAAGTCCTAAGCCGCCTTTACCTAAAAAACGTACAAAGACTACCTCACTCGCTTCTAAAAACACGCGTGCAAAAAGGACCCGAAACGAGGAAGAGCATCAAACAATTGAGGAAAAGAAAAGGGAGGATAGTGACCATCAAACAACTGAGGAAAAGAAAAGGGAGGATATTGACGAGTCGAATATTTACGAAACTGAAGCAAGCAAAGACGTGTCACTTAACAACAAAAATAAGACTGATGATTTCACAATACTCCCTGTTTCTTTAAAGAACGACGCGTCAAGTCAGAATTCATTGATTGATGAGAATTCAGATCATCAGTCAAAATGGAAAGTAGTTAAGGCTAATCTTTTTGAAGTTCCTAGAGAGCCGCCACCACCTTATCGTGATTATATTGAAAAGCTATTCATTAGACGTCCTTGGATGAAGAAGAAGGACATTGATTACCTTCAAAATTTATACACTGACCCCGACTCTATACTCGCTAAGAAACAATTGAAAGTAAGAATAAATCTATGTTAGAAGAATTGCAATTTTTCTTATAAAATGAGAATTATTAAATGAGAATTATTTAATACATAATACTTCTTTAAACAGAGCCTTATTAATTATGATATTTTTAAAGGCTTTTCAAGCGAAAATCGAAGTCGTCTTTTGAAACTTTTACCGAATTGTGACTTAGTTCCGATCACGAACAATGACGGAGAACCTATAGATTCACCAAAGATCCAACGAGAACATAGAAATGCAGGATTGGAAATTTATGAAGCAGGTGTAACTGAACTGATCAGCGAAGTTGATCCCAATAAAGTTTGTCCTCGATTTGATTTTTGGTCTTCGGATTCTTTTAAAGATGCTCGATGGTGGTTTCAAACGAGCATTAAATTAGGATATAATACTTATTATGGCATTGACACTCAATGGAACAATCTTGAAAAGTTCAAGTCTGTAATTCCCAAGAATTGGAAGGTGAGCAAAATCATATAAAACATAATACATGTTATGTTTTAGATTAAAATTAATATTTATTATGCTTGCAGTGCGATGAATATGAACAAGAGTGGGGAATTGGACTTTGGGCAAAAATGGGTGAAAAACGAATTGCAGGGTAAATATATTGCACATTTATGAAAGTTGCATTACAATAATATTAACTGATTTGTGATTATTAGTGATTCTGCTCAAATGTCTCTTCCCGAAATGGCCAAAGCAAAGGTCATTAGACTCAATGAATCATGGAAATATAAACGACAATTTAAGAACGTTGGGGTAACAGTCTCAATGGATTTGAAGGTTAGTTCAACCTTTGCAATCTTTGTTTAATTATAATAATGTTAAGTATTTTATTTAATGACTCTTATATGATATTAATTTTTAGGTTATCGCTATTAATCAATCAAATGGTCACTTGGATTTCAAATTAATCAAAGATGGAGAAGATAAAATCATAACTGATATACATAAACCAACTCGTCTAGAAAATGAAGTTCTAGATTTTGATGGTCGTGTTGCAAAAGGTTCTCGTCCTAATGGTAATGCTTTTAAAAACTTTAAAATTGTGAGGTCAGAAGATTACACCCCAAGCTTGTTTGATGCAAGGAAAGAATATTGGGCAAAAACCCAGTAATTACTTTGTTTTTTAAAACATGAATTTTATGAATTTTAAGTTTCTTAATACCTATATATTATATAATATAACTAATTAATAAATGAGAGGAATTAAAGATTGATAATTGTAAATAATATTTGTTTTGGTTTCAAACTTTCGTATGGTAAAGCCCTTGGTTTATATTTAATAATTTCAGAGGCTTTTATCTTAACGAATATTGGCTAGCTGTTTTTTATAAAATTACGCGCGAAAAAGGATATATATGTACAACGTGTTGATGTTTGTGTTACGTTGTTGTGCGTTCATATTAGATAAACAAACTTGATGATTCTGAGCTCAGTCGGGATACTCGGGCGACCGATCACTAGAATCAACCGAAAAAAAAAATAAAAAAAAATAAATGATTCTAAGCACCTTTTGGCTTTCATCATATGATAAAAAGTTTAAGTTTTTTCAAAAAGTTATTTCATTTTGATCGAGAGCCGATTCCGACAACAAATTACCGAGGCAGTATACCAGAAAGTTTATTAAGTAAATCTTTATAAAGCTTTTGAAAGATAAATTTATGTAAATGTGAATAAAATATTTTCTATTTTTATTTTTATTAAAAATTTTAAAGATTATCTATTATTATTATCGGTGAGAATTTATTTATTCGAAATAGTGATCATATTTATAATGTTATTTTTTTAAATACAACGATAGTTCTAATTTTTATAGCTCAAAATGTTACTTTAATCCTTACATTTTTTCCTAATAACCCACGAATTGCAGTTTATGAAGTTAGACTCGAAGGTTCACATACCTCAAAAGTTCGAGACACAACACATGGTTATGCTACCCGCTATAGTTTTTTGCTATTTTAGCAAATTTTATCCGTTCTATGGTAAAAAGAATTTGGTGTTTTAGGGTTTGAGACATTGATAGAATTATCAGTGATTAACCTTGTAATTTCCAATTTTCTTTAGCAATGGAAGACTTAAAAAAAGTCTACAAGTTATTTCTTCATATCCTTTTATACACTTTACCCGTTCTATGGTAAAAAGCGTTTGGCGTTTTAGGGTTTGGAACTGATAGAATTGTCAATGAATATTACTCTTTGTAATTTCCAATTTTTAATCAAATTTTTTTTTTTTTTTAGCAATGGTAGACTGAAAAAAAAGTCTACAACTTGTTTTTTTTTTATTCCTTTGCATCTTACAGGTTAGATAATAAATAATTGGATAATTGAAAGTTTTTTTTTATTAATACATTGATTTTAATAAATCATCATTATTTTTCTATTTAATACAAAAAGTATTTATTATAGGACATCAAAAAAAAAATTTCAGATCTTATTAGAAGAGGAATTAAAAAGAAAATAATGTAGAAGAAATTTAGGTAAAGTAATATTTAGATATATAAATAAAATTGATATTCATAGATAAAAATAATATTTTAAATAATGAAAATTATTATAAAAAATATTAGAAGAAATTATCCTTTAAACTGTAGAGCAGGCAAATTTGCCTGTGAAACATAAAAAAAGTATTAATTTTTTAATAAAAAATATATTCATCCTTAATATATTAATCATTCTTAATTTTCAATCTTTTAACTATAAATTGCTCCCTCTATTTACTTTGTACAAATTTCATAAAACTTCTCTCTCTTTGAGTTTCACCATAATATTACTTGAACTTCATTTTATCATTTCTTTTGTTATCAACAAAATGCCTCTTAAACCTAGACCTAAATAAAATATTAATATTAATAATATAATTATTATATAAAAAATATAGTTTAATATATATTTAAATCAACTTTATTAGAAGAAATTTAAGTTTATTAAGAAGTTTTTTAAATAATTCAATTTTTAAAATTAAGTTTTGAAAATTTTATTATAATAATTTTTTAAAAATTTTCTTAAAATTCATATGTTTGCAAACTAATTGAATTATTTTACTATTAATAAAAATCATAAAATTTACATTATATTTAGTTTTAATGCGAAATTAGTTAAATATTCAAGTTGTTGCTTATTTTTGGATACTAGTTGACTTTAGGCAGTGTTAGAATTGGACCTTGTCCAATTCCCAATAATGGACCATTAGACTTTGGACCTAATAGAGATGTCTAGTCCAATTCCAATTCAAATGGACTCAGATTATATAATTTTGGCCAAATTTTAATTTTATATACTATAATTCTAGTTAAATTTATAATGCTAACCTAACTTAAAATTTTGGACAATAATAAAATCGTTCAACTAGAACGATTTTTACTGACTGATCTGGATTTTTCAGGTTTGAAGAACCTAATTATTTAAAAAATTCTAATAAATATCAATAAAATAATTTACATAATAATTGCTAAAATTAAATATAAATTTATAGCTGTTGGACGAAGTCTATAATCCAAAAGTCCAAAATTTTAATGGAATTGGAATGGACTAAGTCCAGTAGTCCAATAGTCCAATGGTCCAAAAGTCCATTAGTCCAAAACGCCATCACTGACTTTAGGGGAGGGGTTGCTTATTTTCGGAGGAATACAGTAAGTTTATTTAGAATCGAATAAACGATTGGCCGAAATTAAAAACCGAAATCGATAACGTGTATGAAATTAAAAACCGAAATCGATAACGTGTATGTAGATCAATGATTCCGATTTTAGTTATAAGGCAAGTTTTTTATTTTCACTTATTCCGTCCAAAAATAATAAGATTAGACTATCTAAAAGAACAAAAAAATTTAGTCTGTCTAAAGAACAAGAAAATTTAGTCTGTCTAAAGAACAAGATTCGACTATCTAAAAAACAAGAAAATTTAGTTTGTCTAAAAGTACAAGATTAGACTATCTAAAAGGACGAGAAAATTTAGTCCGCCTGAAGAACAAGAAAATTGGTCTTCCTAAAAGAACAAGAATAGGCCGTCTAAAAGAACGAGAAAATTTAGTCCGCCTGAAGAACAAGAAAATTGGTCTTTCGAAAAGAACAAGATTAGAATACTAAAAGAACGAGAAAATTTAGTCCGCATAAAGAACAAGAAAAATGGTCTTTGAAAAGAATATCTAAAAGAACGAGAAAATTTAGTTTGTCTAAAAAAACAAGATTAGACTTGCTAAAAGAACGAGAAAATTTGGTCCGCATAAAGAACAAGAAAAATGGTCTTTCTAAAGTACACGATTAGACTGTCTAAAAGAACGAGAAAATTTAGTCCTTCAAAAGTACAAGAAAATTGGTCTTTCGAAAAGAACAAGATTAGACTGTCTAAAAGAACGAGAAAATTTAGTCCGTCAAAAGAACAAGAAAATTGGTCTTTCTAAAAGAACAATATTAGACTGTCTAAAAGAACGAGAAAATTTAGTCCGTCTAAAGATCAAGAAAATTGGTTTTTCTAAAGTACAAGATTTAGAGAACAAGAATATTTAGTCGGCTAAAGAACAAGAAAATTGGTTTTTCTAAAGTACAAGATTTAGAGAACAAGAATATTTAGTCGGCTAAAAAACAAGAAAATTGGTTTTCTAAAGTACAAGATTTAGAGAACAAGAATATTTAGTCTGGTTAAAGAACAAGAAATCGGTCTTTCGAAAAGAACCATCTAAAATAACGAAAAAAAATTAAATTTCACTTGATTTCCTAAAGAACAAGAAAAAAATTAATTTTCCTTAGTCTGTATAAAGGACCAACAACTTCCCTTTACAGTCTCAAACTTTTTGGAAAAAGCAGTCGGTTGAGTTCATTCTGAAGCGTCAAAAGCGTTAAAATATTTCAGCATCGCTAAACTTGACCAGCTTGATTATTTAATTATCCAAGTTTTTTGGGGGGTAGAATAATAATTTAAGGTTTATTTTACATTTGGTGTATTAGCAAATAGGTTTTTACAAGACAAAGTTGGGACAGTTGTAAACTTGATTCATTTAGGAAGGGAATACATAGTGCGTGATTATAAGGTAGTTCCTTAATCGCTATAAATTAATCATCAACCTCATCATATCAACATTACCTCCACCGTCATCAACGACCATTTCGGGATTTTTTATGATAACTTTTTTTAAAAATGTAACAATCAAATTATGATGTATTTACAAATCTGTAATAAAAATATTTTTTTTTTTTTTTTTTTTTTTTTTTTTTTTTTTTACTCGTCTATTGCAGAACTTTTCTTTTGACCGTTATTTTACATTAAAACGATAGTACATTATTATTTCCCATTTCGTATAACCATTGTTAATTACATTATTCAAACCAACTTTCTATATTCTATCTAACAAGTGTTTCAAGCCATAATCCATTTTATTAAAAGGTAACAAAAGGTCAGAATCGCGGTAATGCTTTTACATAAAGTGAGATTTAATTTTTTGAAGACCACAATCATATGGATTCTTATGTTTAATTAAAATATATTACATCATTTCAGTCTCGCATAAATCTCTAGGATCTGTGTCATGGATCTTATTGATAAACCAATCCTTCTTCACTCAAGTGCGCTAAATGTTTTTCTCCTACATGGATTGATCTACATTTTTCCGCATGAAACCCCTCTAAAATAATCTTAAGTCCACAAGCTATAACTAATTTACCAATACCACATAAAGAACCTTTCTCTTTTCTGTTGACAGAGAGCATTAACTTTCCGAGAACTTTTTCAGTAACTAAACATGGTAATTATGCGGTGACAGAAAGAAATGATGAAGAAACAAAATAATAAACATATCTTTGTATCGGTTTTGTTCCATCCATATTTATATTTTGGTATTTGGTGCAAGATGCTAAAGATGGTTACAATCACGCTTGTTTAAATGTTTCGAAGTGAAGGTATCGGAATGCTAAAATTATTAGATATCAATTGACCAAATCATTATTAATTAGAATTAAATCAGAAATTTTCAAAAAAAAAGAGAAAAAAAAAAGTTCTACCAGGTGATGGATGAATTATATTGTTTCTTCATTTTCAGCCATCCAAGCAGCCGGTCTCCGGAAATATCAATATCTTCACTGAAGGAAACATGAGATTTGATTACGTGGAAGAAGGCTTCTCG